GACGAAGACTGAACGCTGACTTTTTCTTGCTGGTAAGTGGCAAAAATAGTTTGAAGAGTGTAGAGAATTTTCACTTCACTAATGAAAGCGTAGAATAGATCAGAAGTAATGGCGTCTCTATTTGTATCACATAATTCCTGATTTAGAGAGTAGTCAAGCTTTCTTTTTTCTCATAAAGTATGAATGCCTAATGCAATAGGCTAGTATTAGGAATTTTTTTACGGAATAGTGATCTCCTCACTCGTTGAATCATGTCAATGTTGTTCAAGTTCCTTTTATGTAAAGACGTCTCTAGCTCCTCAAGTCGGAGAAATACGTACGAAAAGGAAGGGAAACAAATATAAGCACCTTCGTTAATTTTTCTTCATTGAATAGTTTGAGAAGAATTGTCTTATCTGTTTTGAACCAGAAATGTCACTTTCCTCCTATCAACTATCATGTCACCATAACTTTTTGCGACATGCCTGAGTTGAAGTCATAATCGCTTTTGTGTCCTGTCTCTGAACTATTCAAGGTAAGAAGTTAAACCTGTAAAAAAGCACAATTCCAAGTCACAGTGTTCTGCTTCCTTTATCGGACATATTACTACGAACGGTATGCTCAAAGTTAACACTATTGTGGCGTGCTATTTACAGCTTTAGCTTCTTTTATCGAACGTATGGTACCAGTCCTCCCATCTGCTCCTTTAAGATGTCGTTCATAGCATTTGACTAGTATTCAAGAATTGCCGCGTATTTCGCAAATACCCTTCTTGCGAGATTACATTGAACTTTATGGATTGAGTTGTGCTTAAAGGGTTTTGTTAAGGCTCCTTCACTGACTTTGGACCGCGCTGACTCGGTGGACCTTACCAAAAGGAAAGGAGTGAATGGTGATTCTGGGCAGGTATCAGCGAAGGTGAGGCGGTTTGACTCAGTTCTGCCGTATCTCCAAGTTTCTAGCGTCCTCGAAGATCAAAGCAGCGATCATTAGCGCCTGACGCAGAGCTTGGCTACAATAATGGATGTGTCGTAGAAGAGTATAAAGGTTTTTCTAACAAGGTAACATATTATTATTGTTTTCATACTTTTAAAATGGGAGACTGTATTTCAGTATACAGAGCCTGTTATCTTAGTGACGTACAAAGAGCCTTTGCCCGTCGGCTTCGAGAACAGGCAGGATGAGATAGTTCCTGTTAGGATCGTCGCGGAAAAAGATCCACAAGTTAGCTTTTCCACTACACTTACCTCCATTTTTGACTTTGCAAGCACTCTTTTTTTCATTTGTTCTTTTTTCATCTTTCAGTGCGAAACGACTTATTTCAGCCTAGATTTGCTAAAACATAAATTTTATGCTAGGAATCTTAGAAGCGTAACCGAACCCTTTGTAGAAAAAATCAAAGCAGAGAGAACTACTGACCTGCCAGCCGGGCATAGCCGAATATGCAAGAAACACCTAAAAAGCTTGTTATTTGTTGCACATGATTCTTCACATACTGGTGCAAACTCGCACCACTAACAGCTCTTGGCATTTTAACTAGATTGATCAAAATGTATAATTCTTTAAACATCGTAGGTGTTATTATACAACGTGACATGATTTTCTGAAAAAATTTTACCATCTTAAACATGCTGGGATGTACAGGGGTCACACCCATATCTCGCTGGTCCTTTTTCGATCCCGTTGTTTGATAAATTGCTTTCTGTTTCATCGGGGAATAAGAATGAGGTAATCTCAGTGCCCCTGTTGCGTGTTGCAGCTCGTCACCAACTTAATAAAAGCTACGTATTTTTTTAATGAGCAGAGGCCAAGGGGCTTGCGGAAACCGTACTTAGTTGGGAGTGGCGTATGCAGATGTCTTCTGCATGCGTCAAAGCACTGCTGTGTTCAACATCTACTAGAAATTAGAGATACAAGTTATAAAGAATAAGGAGTGCCCCACAGCAACCAAGAAAAGCAGTGGGAAGGTCAAACTCAACGAAAACTATTTTACAGAGGCTGATTGCGCATTTGGTCGATCTGTTATCAACTGGCCGCCCGAATCTAATGCACTGAATATTCTGTAGTCAGGGTAAAA